AAGAGGGAGACGGGAAAGATGTTGTTTTTCTTTATTTTCAGAAGTTGCATGTTTTTTATTTTATTTTTTTTTATTTTTTTTTTTGGGGTTGAAAAAAGAAGTTGCATGTTATTGTAGTGAAATACGAGTGAGGAAAATTACAATTAATTGGTAACAAAAGGGCTCATTTGTAGGATTTTCGTAAGTTTTGATATCCGTTTGTACTGTAGGGTCTTTCAAGTTCATTTATGAATTTGAAATGATACCCAAATGTAGTTGATCCTAGAATATATTAGGAAATAAAGATATTTATTAAATGAGGGTAATATAGTAAATTAATAATTTTTAATATTAAAAAGATAAAAGAATAAAAAATAAAAAAAGAGAACATGAGTCCTATTTTTATGGACACAAGTAGACCCATTTTCTCTTTCCTAATTTTAAATTAAAGCAATAAGTATAAATAATAAATAAACGCAATTGGCACTCTTTAGCATGTGCTCAGGAGCTAGTACGTGTATTATTATTTTTTATTTTTAGAATAGCTAGTATGTGTATTAAACGTGGAGATTTTAAGATATATATATGTACATTGCCATATTTTTTTTGAAGTGCATGGAAAAATGAAGTATTTTTTTAGCAATACACACATACGTTTATAATACATGAATTCACTAAAAACCTTTTCCGAAAGGAATTCAACCCTCACGGGTTGGCCCAGTGGTAAGGGCGTTTCCCAGGCCCTATGTAAACGGGAGATCCTGGGTTCGATTCCTGCCGTTGGTGAATCAAGCGATGAGGGCCAGGGACGGGGTGAAATTCCCTATAGCCTCTCCGGGTCCCGGAAGGGGTGGATGGCCGTGGCTTGCCACCAGCTGTCCCCCTTTTTAAAAAACAAAAAAAACAAAAAAAAAAAACCTTTTCCGAAAGATGTTAAAAATGTCCAGCCATGTTTGGGAATGTTTCTATAGAAAATGAATGTTAGTCATAACCACTGTTTTTTTTTTTTTTGGGGTACGACATAAGCACTTTTATTAGAAGCGTATCTTTTATTAAAATGAAAAACCCAAGCTCTTGTTTTTTTTGTTTTTTGGGTCTGAAAAAATCCAAGCTCTTCTATAACTTACGTTTACATTCCCGAAGATGAAAATGCAGAAATTTGTTGTGACCCCCATTGTGGATTGACAACCACGCATGCATCTCTAAAAATTATTGCAAAAGCTGGCCTAAGGAATTTTGAGAACGAATATTAATCGACTATATCTATCAAATTGTATTGGATTGAATGATTTTAACAAAATGAAAATGAATAAGTGATCAAAACCTCAAGGACAAATCAAAGTTTTAACAGAATACAGTATCCTTTGCCTTGTTCTCTTGACACAAAGCAGTAATGTTATGGTGGTTTACAGAAACAAGAACGCATATGATCAAATCTCAGAACAATACCTGTGCTACAAAATAAAACACCAGCCACTCTTCTTAAGCCTGGAGAATTTTGATAAGTCTTATTTGTCTTTAAAAGAATTTTATGAACTCTTCTTTACAATCACTACATATGATAATGGCTGGTGTACTTTAACAAATAAAGACAACGCATATCAACATTAGAGGATTCTGTCCTGAAGATCAGTCATTAAATTGGATGCCAAGGAGCTAAGCTTCTTCCCGGTCTCTCCCGCAATGTTTTTTAGGGAAGAGATATCCTGTTGTGCCTGGAAAGGAAAATACACAAAGATTAAACCGAAATTAGTTAAACAAAAGGCTGGAAACTCAAAAAGGAAATGAAGAATAATTTCTGATCAGACATGGCCAAAATATGATAAACATACAACAAAAAAATTGAATTCCAATGACTCAAAAACAACTAGAAATTTCTTATATGCAAGGCATACCTGAAAAGACAGTCGGTTGATAAGGTCACTTGCCGTAAGATCAAGGGGCAAATTATCATCCCTGTCACCAAATAGATCAGCACTAGAGATGGCAGCGGAACCCTGGAAGTAGCAAGAAAATTGTGTTTAATAACTTGAGTCTAATAACTTCAAGCACCCACCACGCTTCAGCTCAGATAGTTTAATGAAAGTCGAAGAAAAAAAAACGAAGCAGCATTTGTGTTCCCAGGTTATCATGGTAATGTCTGGAATCAGAAAACTATAAACACAATCGTATAAACTGATTTGTATGCCAAAGATGTGTTGATGTTGCAAAAGACAATTTTCTTTGATTTTAATTATGAGGTCTAGCTGAATTTAAGCAGTAACAGGGCAGGACTTCAATAAATAAAAAATACTAAAGACAAAAGGGAATTAAAATTCAAAAGAAATTCCCAGTTGAACTGGGTTTAGTTGATTATGATAGTAATGATACATACCGAGAACTTCTGCAAGGAGGCTTGAGCATCAACATCAGCAGATTTGTTCTGATCACCAAAAAATTGTGCGGAAGAGATCGATTTTGCATTTGTGAATTTCTTCCTCGCTTCATCAGTTTCCTGAATCTGAAAAACAATAAAACATCAATATAAAGAAACACACACAAAATAACATGAACAGAAATGCAAACTGGTTATCAGTGTGCTGAACCATCACATAAAGCAACTCTTTTATATGTCACAAGTTGGTGTCTCCATCAGCCAATATGCAAGTGCAAAAAGACGATTGCAAAAATAACCAAAAGAGCAAACACTATAAGACAGATTTTTAGATCGAGGAAACCACCAGCAGCATATGTCTTCCTGAAAACGGGCTAAACATTCCCACAGTATACATCTTCATAAGTGAAATTTCATTTCCACACCTGAAATTATATGGCCAGAGCAACATCATGCAGGACTGGATATCATGCATGAGAAGGATAGTACATTCCCTTTGTCATAATGATTCTTTAAATAACGCTACCATTTGATAAAACAAGGCCCTACCATTTGATAAAACAAGGCCTTACCATTTGGGCATATGGTCATTGCCGCTTAAAAACAACATAAAATTGGAATGGAGCAAACGAAAGTACTCCTAGCCAAGCATACATGAACCATTTAAAGGATAATGTAACTCACTCAACAATCTCATGTTCTTTTGTTTATTTTTTAAGACAATAATCTGCCTATTAGATTACGATTATAAAAACTTCAAATTGTAATGACTGCCTGAAAAGGAATGTTTTAACTCCAGAACTTAGATAACCAAATACATGTAGTATGTTAGGATGCTTTCTCACCCATGAGGGAAAATTTGCCTACTCGTTTACTTCTGAGTAGAATTTCTGGACCTTACAGATTATAGGTATATGAAAACTGTTAAACACTACAAAAATTCCATTTGGTTGCTTCCCATATTACTAATATAAAGCAAACGGACTTGAGCCTCTTTAGGATAAACATAAAGCATTTCAATTAATTAGTGGTGACCTTAAAAACAATGAATGGCCGGAAAATAAAGAAAAAGAACAAACACTCAGAAACTACAAATGTGTAAATTACTCCTTTTAATGAACATACAGGAAGCAAAAACATCACTTGAATTAATTAGTGGTGACCTTAAAACTTGAATTTCAGTGAAGAATGTTAAATTAAATGCCAGAGTGATAACTATCTAGACAGTTCAGAGGCACGTTTGAAAAGTTCAAGACAAGAACATTCATTAACAAATTTCTTTAAAAAAAAAAAATTCTATGATATACGAGCAGATTTGTTATAGACACAGCCCCAATTTCACAAAGTTTTGGTAAAATGATTCCTTCCTCATCCATATCAACCTGCGGTATAACTACAGAGAAGAACAATAAATTCATCCTCATCTAGGAATTGAGGTATTCTGAGTTTGATTAGAAACATAAAAATGCATTACCCTTCTGACACCAATGGAGGCTTTTGCAAATACAATTAAAACATTAATAGTAAAATAAAACTAAACAGTAAAACTATGAAAAACAAACAAGTAGACAGTTTTCACCCCACCATTGTGTAAACTGTAGCAGCTTTTTATTTCCTTCTAAACTCAGTTTTGTACTTTACTATTTTCCCCTCTTTAGATAAATTTGTTTGTTTGATCCGTTTCTTTTAGCAAAGGGGATTTCAGGGTCTTCAAAACATAAACAAAATCCTGAAGCGTCTCCCTTTTATGACAGAATAGATTTCATGTCTGACCATTGTTTCTCATCATAGTAATACAGTGTCTATTTTCTTCCTTCTTCCTTGACCAGATGATAGGAAAAGCTTAGCCTTTTTGGTTCTCTTAAATTTGTCACCCTAACACTTCTAAATCATGTCAAGCCTTAAATCCTGGTGTGAAAAGTGCAATATAGATTACGGAATTGGAGCCTTAAATTTTTTTCACATTGTAAAAGGTCCTAAAATAACGATTTATTTCTAAAGAACTAATATTTATTATTGGGCAAGAACAAGAAACATAAAAAACTAATTAGTTCCCTTGGGAAAACTACTTATATGTGAATGTCATTGGTCGAATATAACTTACTTGAACTTTGGAGGAATTTGAACTAGTTCTCTTGGGAAAACTACTGTCCATTCCAAAATCTGCAAAGAAATTTGATGACTTTGGTGGAGCAATATGACTAATTACATGAGCGCCATTGGGATTCGTCTCAGGATTTTGGACAATTTCTACATACTCAAAACGAGATGCAAAGGACGAGCCAGCTGTTGTTGGAGTGCTGTTAGTTGAGGAAGGCACTGGTATAACAGGTTCTTCGGGTTTCTGATCGTACAGGCTTTCACTTGACTGCATTTGATAAAAGTTATCTCGCTAAGAAAAAGGCATTTTCCCTTAAAATATAATAAAATAGGAAACAGAACTCAAAGATACCATTGCTGATAAATAATTTATTCTAAACGATAATAAGAAATCACAACCTTTGTAGTAAGTTTGCGAGCACCAAGCCCCCCAGTCTTCCCAGTTTTCTTAGCACCAAGAGGCTTCTTGACAGTACTGGTAACAAATGTATGGGGGGCTTTCGGGGGAGCAGAGACTTCAGGGGTTTCTTTCCTTGCTAAAGATGTTTCTTTTGGAGCTTCACTGGTCTTGACATCAGGAAGCCCATTAGATGCTTGTCCTGACTGAGATGCAACAGGTGATGACGGAAGACCTGCCTCTTCTGCCATACTTTTGGCAACTTCTTTAGAAAGCATCTGCCTGTATAAATCGGCAGCTCTTGATGTATATTTTGCCTCAATTTTGCCTCCATCCGTCCATCCATGCTGCTTAAAGAAAACCTGTGCGCGGTTGTTTCCACCGAAGCTCATCGTTCTAAGCTGTTCAGGAGTCCATGAGTCTAAATTTGTGGATCTGCACAAATTAAACAAATCAATTATAAGATTGTCATTGTCACGATTTTGCTTTTGCAGTTATTTCTAAGGATTAAACCCAAATGTGAATTTCAAAATAGGATGCATTATTAAATCTAAATGATCTGACAATCATATTCAACTCAACCTTTGAAAAATGCACATGATTTTACTTGTACAATCCATTCAAAGACAAATTATTTATCAAGAAAGTATCTTTTATGTAAACTTAGAATCATTACATGGAGAATAAAATTTAACAATGAGAATAAATCTAGATCCAATTTCAATAAAACTATAATCGAACTTTGAAGTGAAATCTGAATTCAAACTATCATATCCACCCCTGATGCTAAAAAAATCTCAACAATCGAAGGAGGGGAAAGATGATGGGGGATGGAGGGGAGGGCCAAGGGGTGTGGAGACAGGAAGATTCTGAGTGAGTGAGGGATTGGGGTAGGGAGGGGGGAGAGTGGATTGTTTGGGAAGACCACATTGAGGAGGGGAAATGGTTGGTAGGCAAGATCGCGCAGGAGGGGGTTGGGGGAAGGTCGTCATCTGGAGGAAAGGGATGTGCTCTGAGAACATCCTTGGAAAGAGCTCGTCTGGGAAGATCGGGTTAGGACGAGGGGAAAGTAACAGGAAAGCTTTTCCATTAAGTGGAAAGTAACAACGAATAAAAGCATAAGTCATTATGGAAAGAACTGCTAATAATTCTGAATCACATAAAACTAAAGGCTTCATTGCAGTCGTATGGGTGTGTGTGTGTGTGCAACTTCTTATCTACCTTTGCAGTCTTCCTAAGAATGCATGCAACAGTTCCCTTGTTTGCCTTATAGTTTCAGTTGTACTTCAGATATTAAATTTGGGTCAAATTGTAGGATTTATACTCCATCTAGCTCAAACAGATACAAAGAACCACAAGAGGTGCTTTCCACAAATCTCCTTTCTATTAAAAGAACAAAACAGATAACGGTTCCTAGAATAGAGCATAACCTTTCGCACTTCTGGCCCAATTTTCTTGCTGCACCCTCCATCCAATCCCATCAAACGTCTATCTAATTACCAAATTCCTAAGATTTAATTAATGACACAAACTATGACTCGGATCCCCAACATGTAACATGATTTCAGTTCCCTCTTATTTAAAAACAGAATTTTGAGTTCTCATAAAATAAATTAGATTACATCACAAAATGCACCAATAGTTAAAGCAATAAACATTCAATCATATGTACTCAAAACAGCTACTCCAACACCCAAAATATAACAAATTAAGGATTGAGAGAATTAAAGATCCTTACTGCCACATGAAACATACCTAACAAAGCTGATGTGAACGCCGAGACTGCGGTGAGCGGCCGAGCAATCGATGCAGAGAAAGATCCCATATGTAACCGAAGCCCAAGTTGGGTTCTTTGCATTGCAATCGAAACACATCTGGAGCAAAAACCCGCAAAATGAAAAACAAAACTCAAGATCCAAGCACAGAACACAGATCTGAATCAGATCTAACAGACCCATATCGAATTTTGCATCAAATTCAAAAACCCATATAAAGGTTTAAGAATAACCCAAAAAAAAACGGCAAAATGATATTAGAGAAACAAAAGAACCTTGTTTTCTGACTTTGCTTTCAGTTTTCTGAAAACAACGTTCTTGTCATTGAAGATTTCGGACGCCATTGGAGAGACAAATCCTAGAGAAATTAGCGAGAACAAATGAATCCGAAGAGGTGCTTGAACACCTCCTCAGGCAAAAGAGAGAGGTAGAGATGTGTGGAAATGAAACCCCAAATTGATTTCAGGTTCTGTTTCTTGGTTTTGGCTTTTCGTTTTGTGAAATTTTAAACGGAACCATTTTATTAGCAGTGGGTATGATACAATGTTGTTTCAAATGACGAAACTACCCTTGAGGTTTCAAGGGTATTTTGGTGCTCGTGGTTCGTTGTTGTCTAGTAGTGTAATTATTTATCTGAACGAAGGGCAAACGAAATTTGTCATGTTACGTCCACGCCTTTTTGGTGGCAAATGCGGTTTCTACCAACCGTTAACGGCTGGGCTTATATAGATGGGTCAAGCTGAACCACCCAGTTCCACATTTCTTCAACCTTAAACTTTTTATTTTTTTAATCATGCTTAATTTAGTTCAATCTTTCTAATTTTAAAAGCCAGAAAAAGAAAAGAGAGACAAATCTATATTTTATCTATTTATACTATTGTAATAAATACATAATCGACAATCCATCAAGAAATAAAAGAGAAAAACCTTATGAGCCATTTACTTACCAAGAATGGAGGAAGTAAGGAATTGGAGAATTAGGGAATTTAGGAAGTAATGAATCGGTATGGGAAGAATCATTTTCATTAAGTTGTTTACTAACCATATGGAATTAGCACAGGAATGGAGTTGATTCCCATTATTATTATTTACTAAGTCTCATGAATCAGAACCTAAACTAATTTGATTACTAAGATGCCTTACACATATAAATATACATTTTTCATCTAAATCACTTGTAAAAAAACTAATTGAATAATATAAGATACTATATAATGAGTGATGAAAAAACTAGTATATAAAAATATAAGGAATATAATAAATAAATAAAAACAAATATGACATAGTGATAAGAAGCATAACAAGACAAGTAGAGGATAGCAACCAAGGTGAAAAGGGAAAAATTTAGCTTTTTCCAACGGTGATTAATAAACAACCATTGAATTTTTTGTTAAACAAAAAAGGCTTCAAAGTTTCGTTTCTTCATTTTATGGGATGGAAGAACATAACAAGTGTCAATAGTTTTTGTTTTATGTCCATGTTTCTCCATATTGTGGTGCTAAACTAAACCCTAGTCATAATAACCTAAGCATAATCTTGATAATATTAAAGTGCCGTGAGTTTTTATTTTTCTAGGGCTTGGGGTATTTTGTAATTAACTTAAAGTGGTAAGGGTATTTTTGGAAGGTAGTAAGGGAAAAATGGAATGGGAATCAGATCAACTACCCCTCCCTAGTTGATATGATTCCTCGTTTTGAGGGGATGTGATTACGGATTTTAAAGCGGGACCCACACATTTTTTCATTCCTAATTACAAGTAAACGCAAAAGAAGTCATAAATGAAAATCATTCTCTTTCTTCCCATACCCATTACTGATACGTAAACATGCACATTTACTTATCAGGAATAGGCGTTGGAATGATTATGATTTCTTCTTCTCCAGTGTTCACTAACACATAGGTATTGAATGATTCTAATTCCTGACTTACCATGTGTTTACGTTACATAAAGAACCAAAATTTATGTGGATTCCATGTCAAATTCGCAATCGAATATCGTCAAATTAGGAATGGGATCAACTAGGGATAGTTGATTTGATTCTCTCTTCTTCTTTTTTGGGGGGGGTATGAATTGAGTTGATTTTCATTCTTTGATTCTCCTATATAAGTTCCCACTATCATGACTTCTCCCATTCCTTATATGTAAATTGTAAAATATGAATAATAACCTTAAAAGCATAGTGAAATTACACCCATCAATATGTTGGAACCACCCCTTTAATTTTTTCCCCTCAATATTCCACTTTTGCCCCTCATAAATAAAAAATATTAGAAAAGAAATAGCTAGCAACCCTCATCGTTCAATCCCTACGTAAGCTCACTGTTCAATCCCTTCTATTCCCTCTTCACACTTCCCAACTAGCAATATTAAGACTCAGTGAGTTTTTTGGCTTAATACTTTGTACTAGAGATAGAAACAATGTACATAATATTTTCTTCTTTATATTGAGCGTGTGTTTAATTAGGTGTAAACTAGGCTTGGGATGTGAAATGTGAGCGATTGCACATAGGTCTAATTTTAGAAAGGCCCCCAAATTATAATCTTGTTCAACATATATATATATATGCTTTTAGTTAATATATTCACATTCAAATAAAAAAGTATACTCGTGATATCAATTCCTTTCACTCATTTTTCCGCATAATATGTAACGACCCATGGCAGAATTTTTATTGATTTACTTAAATCCAAACATACTTTGAGCATTTGCCTATTCAACCATTGGGGAGGAAAAAGCATGTGACTGGGTAAGGCCCGGGTTAACCCTTCACCCAATCCCGACCATTTTACAAGCATTCAAATGTCATGGATTCACTTTTTCAATCTCATATTGTTGCTATATGATGTAATGTAAATAAATAAAAGGTGTATTTCAGTTTCATACTATGAATAGTACGCGTATTTTGAGTTTTAATAACTTGGTACCTTAACATTTTCAAATTTTTTGTCAATTCAACTTGTTGTACTCAAAATGTCTATAGGGCACACCCTCAAGAGCCCAAAGCAGACTTAGGCCTAGGTCACTTGAGGAAGTGACTGGCCGTCTCCAAAAACCCTAAATTGGCCTCCCCTAAGACCTCCCAGGCTCGATTAAGACAAGGCAAGGTCGCCTAAGCCCATGCAATGACTATGCACCAAGGCCCTACGCACCAATCCATATTCCATGTCTTCGAAAGGCCGAAACATCGACAACGAGGCCTACCAGACTTGATCCTAATAGGTGCGCTCATCTCATAGAGGTAGTACTTACGCCATCAGGATCTCATCAACAATCAAATCCGAGGATGCCACATCATCAGAGGTCTAATAGTCCCACATCAGAAGATAGCAAAAAAAGGATTCCTCATTCCCAACATAAAAATGAGTACTTTACACCAAAATGGTAACTTGAAATCTCTCTAGACTTAAGTACAGTACTTTTCACTCCTTTTTGGGAAAGATCTTATAGGTATCGGAGGGTGATTGGTAGCCCCACAACCACTTTTAGTGACCCATTTTGTCTTCTCATTCAGGAAGTTTGAAGCATTACCCGCAATACTACATTGCTCTCAAAGTGCAAATAAAATAAAGTTCTACAAAAGTGTGTTTTTTAAACCCAAAGGACCACCCTTAAGGAAGGTTGGGCCAAAAATAGTTTGCGCGTACTTTGAAATAGTGGTGCAAAAACCAAGCATTAACACAATCGTTAAGAGATTCTTTTATGATCCAACATAGCCTGAATAGAAAAAGATTAGTGACATGTGGATTAAAAAAATAGGATTAATTGACAAATTAAAAATTTATTATAAAATTAAAATTAGAAAATTGTACAAATACCACTTAGACTATTCATGGTTTGTGCAACTGTCACGTGAAAAAAAATTTGTTTATTTTTTACGATCTGAAACCCAAGGAAAAGTGGACGGAATCTACAATTTTCCCATTAGTCAAGGGTTGTATTTATGCAATTGTTCGGTTAGTCTAATTGGGGAGGGGGGTTGTGGTGGTGATTCTATGTTTAATGATGTTGATAGGAGAATGGGGAAGAAGAAGAGAGTGTAAAAGCTCTTACCTTTCTTTTAACTGCACCAATATTTGGGTTGGAAGACTCTAATAAGAATCAATCAACATTAGGTAACAGGTGGGTTAAATGGCTTGTTAGGTTTGAGACAACAGGGTCTGTGGTATTCCGTGCATTTGGAAGCCAGTAGGGCCTTGAGAATGACTAATTCCGAGAGCTTGTGCAGGGGTTTGAGCTAACTGGGTTGCCATTTTTTGTGGCTCTAAAGTAACATGTAGGTTGTGCTACTATTGAAGAGGCATTGGCAGATGTGTGTTGTGGTGTGATTCTATGTTTAATGATGTTGATAAGAATAGGGAAGAAGAAGAGAGTAAAAACTAACTGGGCTAATTATAGGGTTGGAAGACTGTAATAAGAATCGCTCAACATTAGAAGATAGGTTAGCTGAATGGCTTGCTAGGTTTGAGGCAATAGGGTATGTGGTGTTATGTACATTTGGGAGCTAATGGGTCCTTAAGAACGACCAATTCCAAGATCTGGTGCAGGGGTTTGAGCTAACTGGGTTGCCATTTTTTGTGGCTCTAAAGCCACATGTTGGATGGGCTACTATTGAAGAGGCATTAGGAGATGGGTTTGAAGAGGTGAAAGGGAAAAGGATAGTGTTTGAGGGTTGGGGTTTGTGTGCAGCAGACATAGATTTTGAGTCACCCATTAGTTGGGTAGTGTGTAAGCTATTGTGTCTTTGGGTACATGTGGAGTTTTTGATGAGTGACAACCAAATTTTGATGGTTCCAAACTTATGTAACCATATCTTGAACACCCATATTTTGGTTAAAGATCTCAAGATTGTTGTGGAGGTAGAGAAAAGTAAACAGATGGCTTTTAAATGAGATCTTGATCAAAGCTATTTTAACTTTTATGGATAAGGACAGTGATATGGGTATGTTATGGTTTTTTTGTTGAGAGTTGTAATGGGCTTATAGTACTCCTACAAGGTGGACTCAGCTCTCTTTCACCGCTATTTGAGTTTGCAACACCAGGCCCAAAACACTCCAAAAGAGCTTAAGTCTTAGGGAGTGATTCAGTTATCTCCAATGGCTCCTTGTTTCATTGCAAGTTTTTATGTACGGGAGGTCTTTACTTGGTGGAACATATGCTGGAAGTGTTACAACTTATTTAAACAGGTGCTGGAAAGTGTTCCAACAGCTGGTACAACGTCCGACAGCTAAAGACGATGCATTTATATTGTGCAATGACCATGTGAGCTTGGCATGAAAGCTTTTGTGAATTGAGATTAAGCTTGGCTTGAGAGGTTTATGGTGTAAGAGCTAAGAGCCCATAAGTTAAGCAAGAAAGAGAGATAGGAAAAAGCTTGGAAGTGTAGCTGGATTGTATCTTCCAGCAGTTCTGGAATTGCTTCCAGTGGCTTGAATGGATTTCTTGAAACAGATAAAGTCAATTCTGATGCCTGAATCTTATGATGGTGACTTGTAGAAATGTTTGGGCATTATTTAAGGCTTGGGATGGT